AAGTTAGTGTGTTCCACAAGATATTGTATTCCAGCTCTTCCGGGAGGTCCTCGAGTTTTAGTCGAAATTACTTGAATTTTTCTCTGCTGCCCGGCTACGGCCTATCCTTACTGATTTGTTTATCGTTCCTCGAAATTTCTCCCGTCCAATTTTTTGAGACAGCATGGACCCTCTTACATGAATATTCATTTATCCACTTATTAATCCTATATAATAGGTGCGTGTTCAGTTATTTTCTTAAAATTGGACAGTTGGTAATAATATGTGGATATAATGAATTCCACAAAGTGCACTGAGAAATTGTACTCGAACACGTCTTTTTTGTCATTTTTTCAAAAAACCCTAAGCTTACATAAAACAAAAGAGTACAGAATAGCACAATAGTGATCCAAAGGCAACGTTTTATAATACTTTTAATAAGCTAAAGTGCATTTGAATATTATGTTTACTGTCTCCTTGAAAATCAATGTAGCATACAGACCATACAGTCAACCCCAATAACGTTGTTTACTTGTAAAGACATACTGACAACAACAAAGTCATTTGCATAAAAAGGTTTTCAGAATTCCAAGGAAAAATTTTAATTCTAAACTTTAGATATATATCGAATTMATTAAAGTCCGATTCGTACGTCGTAAATATCGTACTATCGTCGCGTCGAACCAAATAGTCAATTGGTKTCGACCCCAATACATTTGGTACGGTGTTTTGCCTGTGATCGTATCTGCTAGGCCACGCTTTCAGAGCTAAAATAATGTACCTTTGTACCTTTAGTCTGGGGTAGGGTATGTAAAATCACAAAAATTGGTCTGGGATAGGGTAAGGGTTTTGAGGGTTGTGCGACATACCCCCACCCAAGTTGGGGAGGGAGTACCCCTCCCCCCTCGGAAACTGAAGACTGGGATTCGTGTATTTTCTTGTTTCATGTTGATCTTGTTTTTGAATCAAGTCAATCAAATGACAAAAGTCGTTTGAACAAATCTCACAATATTTACTTGCGATTGTGGAAAGAATACTTATCAAGACAGTTCAAAGTAAGTAGATCAATTATATTTGATTAATGCGTTAGTAGAGTCCACCAGCTTTCGACTGCATTCTGGTTAATGACTCGTATGAGATTTGAAAATAATTCTAGGTTCATTTTTAAAAAAGAAAATTAAGTGCATGTGTGTGTACAGAAAAACAGGTAGACGCAAAACGTATTTCAATGTTGCCCTGAAGTTAAGAAGTATTACAATTCCAACAGAATTTTGTTTTATTGCATCTTCTTGATAAATCACTGATTTTCTTTTTAGTTTGTGTGAAAACGAATACTCGCGTTAATGTTCACGTAACAACGACTAATGGGTTGTGCGAGCCGAGGACTAACCCAAAGTACTAACGTTTTTATCATTATCTTTCACTGGAAAAAATAGTTCACTTTAAAAGGTTGTAAATTTGATGTCAATATTATGTAAGTGTCCAAAATGATGTAAATTTGATGNTAATTCTAGGTTCATTTTTAAAAAAGAAAATTAAGTGCATATGTGTGTACAGAAAAACAGGTAGACCCAAAAAGTATTTCATTGTTGCCCTGAAGTTAGGATGTATTACAATGCCAACAGAATTTTGTTAAAATTGCATCTTCTTAATAAATCACTGATTTTATTTTAATTTGTGTGAAAACGAATGCTTGCGTCAATGTTCACGTAACAACGCGCGACTWATGGGATGTGCGAGGCGAGGTCCAAAGCACTATAAATGTTTTCATCATAATCTTTTATTAAAAGTATTCTTTTTTTTCGTTTCATTCTTCTTTTGTTTCTGTAGCTTTGTTGTTACGAGGAGGTGGAAACCAAATATGAGGATCTTGATAATTTAAGGTTGCAAATTTGATGTAAATATGATGTAAGTGTCCAAAATTCTGTGAAATTTGATGTAAATGATTGCCATTAAATTTAAAGAATTTTGGACACTTACATCATATTTACATCAAATTTACAACCTTTATGGCGCGCGATTTTTTCCAGCGTTTTAATTAAAATTATTCTTCTTTTCTTTGTTTCATTCTTCTTCTTTTTTCATTCTTCTTTTTATTCTATAGCTTTGCTGTTACGAGGAGGTGGAAACCAAATATGAGGATCTGGATTATTGTTTTATTCGCATTGATTCGACGTGATGAAGCTTTGACAAAGTAAGTTTCAGCCTAGACGCAAAATAGACTTGACTTATGCCGAAAACAATTCACGAATTAAAGTGGCTTTCTATAGTTTTTTTTTTTTCGACCATACCTCTCTTTTTAAATTCGCTATTTGATCGAAAATCTTTCCATGCACCGATTTATTTGGTGTTTGGGTCAGTAATAAAGCATTGATCAAAGTTTTGTTTGGCTCCATTAACGTTACCTGGGCAACGGAGATCGCATTTTGTCGAAATTCGTATTTGTGCCAAATATCTCAAAAAATTGATGAGATCCAGAAAAGCGGTAGACATCATCATTAACTTCAAAYTATTRCACAACGTTTTGGAATGGTTGAAAACAAATTTYGCGGGGTAATATGCAAAAATTACATCCATAACTGACATTTGTCAATACTATTTAAAAACGTATTTATTTTTAATTGTTCAAACATTTGTCAACGTTGAATCATGASTTAATTGAATTGCCTCATGGCATAATGACATCACAGTATGTTTACATTGTCGATAGATGCTCAGAAAGACTCGATGTATATCATCTATCAATGACAG